CGGGTCATTAAGCAGTAATGTGGCCCGTAGGCTTTGGGAGTGACTCGTAGTCTACTGTTTTTCGACTTTGCCCGTGCCGGAGAGGCGACCGGGTCTTTAAGCAGTAATGTGGCCCGTAGGCTTTGGGAGTGACTCGTAGTCTAATCTTTTTTGACTTTGCCCATGCCGGAGAGGCGACCGGGTCTTAAGCAGTAATGTAGCCCGTAGGCTTTGGGAGTGACTCGTAGTCTACTCTCTTTTGACTTTGCCCGTTCCGGAGAGGCGACCGGGTCTTAAGCAGTAATGTAGCCTGTAGGCTTTGGGAGTGACTCGTAGTCTACTCTTTTTTGACTTTGCCCGTGCCGGAGAGGCGACTGGGTCTTAAGTGGTTGTGTTGCCCATGCCGTAGAGGCGACTGGGATTTTCAGTAGTAACGTGGCCCATAGGCTTTGGGAGTGACTCATAGTCCACTCTTTTTTGACATTTTTCGTGCCGAAGAGGCGACTGGGTCTTTAAGTAATAATGTGGCCTGTAGGCTTTGCCTGTGAGGTGCTGAGCTGACTAGGTGTCGAGCTACCTGTGAGGTGCCGAACTGACCAGGTGCTAAGCTGCCTGCGAGGTACCGAGCTGACCAGTTGTCGAGCTACCAGTGAGGTGCCGAGCTGACTCAGGTGTCGAGCTACTAGTGAGGTGTCGGGTTGACCGGGTGTCAAGCTACCTGTGAGGTGCCGAGCTGACCAGGTGTCGAGCTACTAGTGAGGTGTCGGGCTGACCGGGTGTCGAGCTACCAGTGAGGTGTCGGGCTGACCGGGTGTCGAGCTACCTGTGAGGTGCCGAGCTGACCAGGTACCTTAGAGCTATGATTGCATTGCATCAGCTTCGTAATGCTGGTCACCCACTCCTACAAGAAGCTACTAGGAGCTCGACCTTTGGGGGCAGCCCTACTAACTTTAAGGAGCCAGCTCACACGGGAGCCTTGGAAGGCTCAACCAGTAAGGGCGCCTATGTAGTCTGTTGGCCGCCAACTCCCGCGGAAGCTACGAAGAACTCATCTTTGTAGGGGGGACCTTGCAAAGAGGACTGGTGAGGCTTTATCCAAATTGAAAGTAAAGTTAGTCTGTTAGCTCCCTGCATAGTCTTTGAGTTCATAAAAAATGTAAACTATAAAGCGAGAGCTTCAATTTCTAAAAAGTGAGGACTTAGCTTTCTGGGAGAAGAGGACTTAGCTTTTGTAGGATGAGAACTTAGCTTTTTGTAGCGTGTTCTCACAGACGGCGCCAATTGATGTAACCGTTTCTGGTCACGTACCATTTTTTGTGATGTATAA